ATCCCGTTAAGATTCACGGTTTGGAATTCCCGAAGCAGCTGCTCCTACAAGGGAAAGATGCTCAGTGGAGCTCAGGTGAAGCAAAAGAATTGTGCATTCCAGGATTCTCTGGGCGCCCATTTTATTTACTGTGGAAAAACTCCTCGGTTTTTCTCCCATAAATTGAGGAATGTTACGAGAAATGTTATTTTAAGGGGTGAAAAGGTCCACATTTTGAACCCACAAATCCTTTAAGTTTCAGCTGGTCTGAGTCGCCCTTTTTTTCTTTAATTATGATTTTTTTCTTTAATTACGATTTTTTCTCTAATTATGATTTTTTCTCTGATTATAAATATTATAAATAAATTTTCTTGAATTCTAAAGAAAACAGTTAATTAGGATTAAATCTCTCCCATCCTGTCCATTGTCTACACTCCCAGATTTACATTTTCCTTAATTATATGAGATGTTTTAAATGCTTTGAGTCTTTACCTGGAGGGGAAGAAAACTTCAAGCAGAGTTGGTTTAGTAGCTTTGGAGTTGGTCGTGCTTCCATCTGGAATATTCCTGAGTGGGGAGCCCTGTCCTGCATCCTCCAGAGATCCAGAAATTCTGGGAATACGTAGGGGTCCGTTCTCTCTGGGTCATTTTTAACCACCTCCACTGTCTGGAGGATTATCCCTGACTCAGAGCTTCCTGGAGCTGATGGAAAGCCTCCCGTTGACTCCAGTGCTATGGATGGTGGTCTCTGGAACAGATATTTTCGGGATTGAGTTTGTTTTGGCAGGAAACCGCTCGGAAGGTTTTTATCAGCCGGAGACACCTTTTAAGGTGTCTAATTAAAAATAAAAAAAAGAAAAAAAAAGAGGCTACAATTCCCACTAAAGCTTGGCATGTGGAAGCATTTTCTAGCTCCTTTGTTTCGTGAGAGGCTTAATCAAAACTGTTTGTAAGAGGGAAAAGGTTAAGCCTTTAAATATTGGGATTTACAGACGCCGTTCCAAATTCGACGCCGGGAAAAGGGGTTCAGAAAACAAGGCAATACTGCCATGGTATCTGGGAAATTAATTACTTCTGGAATGAGCTGGAGGAGTATTTGGAGCAAGAATCACAGAATCATAGAATCAGCGGGGCTGGAAAAGAGCTCCGAGATCATGGAGTCCAACCCTTGATCCAACCCTGCTGTGGTTCCCAGCCCATGGCACTGATGCCTCATCCAGTCTGTCCTTACACCTTCAGGGACAGAGAATCCACCACTTCCCTGGGCAGCCCATTCCAAGGGCTGATCACTCTCCCTGGAAAGAATTCCTTCCAAATATCCAACCTGACCCTCCCCTGGCACAGCTGGAGGCCGAGCCCTCTTGTCCTACTGCTGGTTCCTGGGAGCAGAGCCCGATCCCACCCGGCTCCCCCCTCCTGGCAGGGAGTTGTGCAGAGGGATGAGGTCCTTCCTGATCCCTCTTTTCTCCAGGCTGAGCCCCCCCAGTTCCCTCAGCCTCTCCTCATGGGAATTGTGCTCCAGTCCCTTTCCAGCCTCTCTGCTCTTCTCTGCACCTGCTCCAGCCCCTCCATGTCCTTCCTGAGCTGAGGGCCCAGAGCTGGACACAGCACTCCAGGGGTGGCCTCACAGGGGCACAATCCCTTCCCTGCTCCTGCTGCCACCCTGATCCCGATCCAGGCCAGGATCCATCGGCCCTCTTGGCCCCCTGGGCACACTCTGGCTCCTGTTCAGCTCCCTGTCCATCCCAACTCCCAGCTCCCTTCCTGCCTGGCTGCTCTCCAGCCCCTCTGGCCCAGCTGGGGGTTGTTGTGGCCAAAGGGCAGGACCTGGCCCTTGGCCTTGTGGAACCTCATCCCGTTGGAATCAGCCCATGGATCCAGCCTGTGCAGGTCCCTCTGCAGAGCCCTCCTGCCTTCCAGCAGATCCACACTGCCCCCAGCTCGGTGTCACCTGCACATTTGCTGATGGTGGGACTCCATCCCCTCATCCAGGTCATCAGGAAAGACATGAAACAGGGCTGAGTTTAAGGGTTAAACTCAGAGCTGAAGGAATAAATAGGAAAACCCGTGGATTTTTTTCCAAAGGCCGGCGTTGCCGGGGTGTGAAGTGGCACCGTCGGGTGGCTCCGGGCGCTGACGTCGAACGTGCGGAGGGCGCGAAGTGACAAAATTCCGGGTGGGATTGGAAACCTTCCCTCCTGACCTTGCCTGGGCTGGGTGGTTTTAACCTCACTTTCCTCCTCCCGTCTGCCTGGTGAATCAGGGCTCTCTGCCTGGTGAATCACACAGGCTTTTGTGCTCAGGACCGTGGGGAATATTATCACACGACCTCGCTGGGAGCCCTTTTTTTCCCCGCTGGAGTGGCTGAGGTACCTCTTGTACCTCGTTGGAGAAGCAGCGTCGCTTCCTTTCCTTAATGTCCTTGGTCAGAGCAGTCCCCTCACACACCATCTTCTCATTCCTCCTTTCACAGCCGCTTTGTTTTCCGCCCACAAAAGGTGGAATTCGGGCCGTGTGGGTTGTTTAGGGAACAAGAGGACTCGGAATCACTTCTCTGACCTCGTACGACTTCGTGTTACGCACCCACTGCACCTGCCTGGCTTGAGAATCAGTGCAGGGATCTGTGTTTTCCCTTTCTCTTTGCGTCTGGAGCATCGGATGCTCCTCAGGAGTGGGAATGGTGGTCAGCCAAGGGCAGGGAATGCCAGCCTTCCTTGACAGCCACTGGACCGACCTGGAAATTAGCCTGAACCCTTGGAGCAGAGGGGAATTCCCATGTTTTCAGGAGATCCGTTAAACAGAGGTGATGGTCTCCTGCTGTCAGATCCCGTTTCTGACCTCGGTTCCTTACTGGGAGTTGGACTCCATGATTCTCATGGATCCCTTCCAACTCTACATTCTCCATAACCCAGCTGGGTTCTTCAACCCAGCCCAACAAATCAAGAGAATTCTCCCCAAAAAACACATGTTGGGTTCTGTCACATTAGTGAGGTGACTCATCCCGGTCAAGGATCCATCAGGAATCGGAGCTGGCATGAGGTTGGGAGCTGGAAGTGTGGGCGGGGCACAGATCCATCCCATCTCCTGCCCCTGGAGCTGCAGCACCAGCCAGCCCAGAGGGCCTCAAATGAGTCATTCGTGTCCTGTCCCCACAGCTGGCGATGATTTTAGGGTTAGATATGAGGAAGGAATTGTTTGGGATGAGGGTGGGGAGGCCCCCGGACGGGTTGCTCAGAGAAGCTGTGGCTGCCCCTGGATCCCTGGAAGTGTCCAGGGCCATGTTGGACAGGGCTTGGAACAACCTGGGAAGGTGTCAGGAACTGGAAGAACTTTAAGGTCCCTTCCAACCCAACCATTCCATGATTCCATGACTTTATCCCTGATCCAGATCTTGTTTGGTTTCTTAAACTGCCTCAGCTGTCCCCATCTCTCTGTAAGGCTGTGTCCTAATGACTCTGGAGGTTGATCTGCCTGGAAAAGCTGTTCTTTCCCTGTTTCTGTTTTCCAGCTGGCTTGGCTCCCGGCTCTGTGTTTCCCTGGAGCTGCCCAGGGTGTCCCTGGAATGCCAGGGGTGGGGGCTGCTGGAGCTGTCCCTGGCTTAGGCAGGGAGAGAGAGAGAGTCAGGAACAACCTGGGCTGCCGTGGTCCTGCCACGTCTCTGACCTCCTTCCCATCCGGGTGGTGGATCCAGCATCCCCTGGGGAGTGGGTCGGGGCCACGGGAATGAAGACAGGCTGGGAGAGCTGGGGGTGTCCAGCTGGGAGAAGAGAAGGATCCAGTTTGACCTTGGACCCCTTTCAGAGCCTAAAGGGGCTCCAGGAGAGCTGGAGAGGGACTTGGGACAAGGGCTGGAGGGACAGGACACAGGGAATGGCTTCCCAGTGCCAGAGGGCAGGGAGAGATGGGATATTGGGAAGAAATTCCTGGCTGGGAGGGTGCTGACAGGCTGAGATGGATTTCCCAGAGAAGCTGTGGCTGCCCCTGGATCCCTGGAAGTGTCCAAGGCCAGGTTGGATGGGTCTTGGAGCAACCTGGGATAGTGGGAGATGTCAGGGCTGGAACTGGACGAGCTTTAAGGTCCCTTCCCACCCAAACCATTCCATGATTCCGGATAACTGGTGAAGCACTTCAGCAGCAACTGGTGAGACCACACACCAACCATTAACTCACCTTAACAAACCTGTGTGGGTTTTTATTCCTGTGAGAATCCCATGCTGGAGAGAGGGATCAAGCCGTGGATATCAAGTGTTCCACGGTCTAATCCAACCTGAGCCCCGGCCCGCGGATCCCGTTGCAGCGAGGCCGTGTCATCACTTAACTCAATTTAATGCTTGCTTGGTTCGGGGGGGGGGCCTTTGGAGTTTGGTGGGGTTTTTTTTTCCCTTTGCAAGTGATTTTATTTTAATTGTCATCACTGGAAATTTAATCCGCGGAAAAAAACCCGACACGCGAGCCGGAGCCGCTCCGTTGGCGGCGCAAAACGGAATAAAGCAGGAATAGAGCAGGAGCTGCACTTCATCCTGCCGTTTCCCTGGGCCTGTTGAGAACATCATTGCAGAATAAATCTGTTTTTCTTCATTGCTATTCAAATGATGTGGCCCAGACACATTGATTAATCTCTAAGTGTGGCCCTGCTGAGATGGGAGATAAGTACCCTCATTCCTATTGTTCTAATTCCGAGCACAGTCTGTTACAATAAATGCTGCAATATCTATTGAATTCCTGCTGAAAGGTACGAGCAAGGCACAGATTTGACTCTCTCGGTGTTGCCATGTGGATTAATTTTATTTTTTTTTCCTCCCTTAATGTCTTTTTTTTTTTCAAACCCAGAACACGCTCCTCTCGTTTCCAAACCCGCCACGAGCTGATAAACGCTCCCAACCCAGGAATTCTTCAAACACACTTAAAATTACCTTTCGCGAAACCCCTCTGGAAATCAGTTTTGTTTGAAGCTCAGGGGGGAAACATAGTTTCTTTCTTTTGCCCTGACTCCCATTTTCTTTTTTGTTCCGTTCCTGCAGGAGTTTTTTGAGAATCCCGCTTTTCGCCCCGACGGGATGAAGCTCTACCCGACCCTGGTGATCCGTGGCACCGGCCTGTACGAGCTCTGGAAAACTGGGAGATACAAGAGCTACCCCCCCAGCACTCTGGTGGATCTGGTGGCCCGAATCCTGGCCCTCGTCCCCCCTTGGACTCGCGTGTACCGTGTCCAGAGGTAATTTTCCATGCCTACGGATTTGCTGCGCTCGGAGGGATCCGGGCTTTTGCAGCGAGATCTGACTCAGCCTTTCATTATTTCTCATAGCCTCAATCATTAATTCACTAAAGGTCTTTAAAACTGCTTCAGGGTTTTTGGTTTTTTTTTTTGCTTTAAAGCCTCTTCAGGCTGGGAGAGGCCGAGGAGGATGAGGAGCTCTTTAGGTGGAACTCCATGTCCAGAAATTTCTGGAGGCTCCGCTTCCTCCGGCAGCCAGATGAGAGCCTGGGACGCAGCCCTTTAATGATCCTGAGGGATAATTGCCTCTTGGCTGTGGGGGAACATTCCTCTCTTTGTGGCAGGAGCTGTGAGCTGTGTCATTTTTCTGGCTGTGGAGACTTCCTCTCTCTCCCCGTGGGCGTTGCAGGGTTTTCGGGAACGTTCCGTGGTGGCGCCATTATTCCCAGCACCCACCTCCCGGAATTATGGATAATCATTCCATTAGCAGTGTGGGGTCTTCCCTGGGTTATTTTGCTTCTGTTATCTCCTAAATCTGCCTGATAATAGGAAGGGAGGTTGTAAACACTTCCCTATTTTTGCATGCACAGACAATACTCCGTTGGCTCCCGGCTCCGTGAGTTGGAATCAGTTCCAATCCTGTGCTCTCCAAGAGGAGAGTGAGGAATGAGACCTCACCTGCCTGGGTTTCTCCAAAGAATTTGCTTTTGTGCCTGATTGGAAGGGTGACAAAGTGGGGATGAGCAGAGAAACGTGTCAGAGAAGGAAGTGGCCAAAGGCAAGAAACGCTGGGAAGCTCTGACCAAGAAATTCTGGATTCAGGGATAACGGTGGAATTTCTAAAATGCCCATTTAAAAACTAACCTTGCGCTCAAAATTGTATGAATTTACAGTGGCACAGAAAAGAATAAGGCACTGAGGAAACCTTGGAGGGCTGGGAAGCATCCCTGGAAGGGGGAGGATCTGCTGGTGGCAAAGCTGGAGTGGGAGATGGGATGAGATGCAGGTCAGGGAAGTTGGGCATCAAACTCCGGGGGGTTTTGCTGTAAATCCTGGGATCACCATAACAGAGGAGGAAAAGTTCTTAATGTCTTGGTCTGGAATAGGATGAACCACTGGGGAATGCAGCCATGAAAAGCATTTTTTTCAGGATAACTCCATTTAGAGATGGAAGCGTCGATGCAGCAGTCGGAGCAGGCTTTGGGAATGCCTTGTGTGGAATAAGCCCCATCTTCGGGAGAATGAGCTGTGGGAATATGTGCAGGGCAGCATCAGTCTTTTTTTGGAAGGGTAGATGTGGAATAAACGACCTCTGAGAGAAGGAAAATCATGGAATCACAGAACGGTTCGGGTTGGAATGGACCTTAAAACTCATCCCTTTCCAACCCCCTGCCACGGGCAGGGAACATTTTAAGAAATTACCTTTTAAAGGAATTGCCTTTTAAAGGAATTACCTTTTAAAGGAATTACCTTTTAAAGAACAGGAACACTGATTTGGGCAGAGAACAAGAAAATTAGGAGTAGCCTGGCGTGAAACAAGGCAGGAATGTGGGAATTTTTGGTCAGGACAGAGATTCCGAGGAGTAGCTCGTTCCTGGTGCCGTCACCGCGGCATCGCATCTAAATCCAGCAGGTTTATTCCTCAAGGATGGCAGCCTAGCAGGTCTTTTCCTGAGGAATTCAGGCCTGGAAAAGGCTTTGCTTGGTGTGCTGTTGCCCTGACTCCCCTCCCCAGCTGCCATCCCGCTGTCAGTTGGGATGTTCCGGAGCGGTTTTCCCGCTTCCCGGCTCGTGGCAGCTGGAACGGGTCCATGGTGATTACGGATTTTTACACCTCCGGAGCCGAGCCCAGGAGTTATTACTTGGATCTGAATTGCTTCCAGGGCCGTTGTGTGACTCAGGAACAGGATAATGCACAAAGCCAAGGTTTCTGAAAACATCCACGGGCTGTTCCCAACAACGGGAGCGACTTTTCCCTCGTTCTCCGCTGCATCCCAGGCCCTTTCCATCTCCACGAGTCCACCTTCCTTCACAGCTTCCCTTTCCAGGCTCTCTTTCCACAGTGCTTTCAGATTCAGCTCGTGCCCAGACAGCAGGTTATCCCGACAGGAAAGCTGGAGAGGGAATGGAATACAAGGGTGTGGAATGACAAGGACAAGCGGGAACAGCTTTAAGCTGACAGTAGGTTTAGATGAGATATTAGGATGAGATATTGGGAATTCTTGGCTGTGAGGGTGGTGAGGGGCCGGAATGGAATTCCCAGAGAAGCTGTGGCTGCCCCTGGATCCCTGGGAGTGTCCAAGGCCAGGCTGGATGGGGCTTGAAGCAACTTGGGATAGTGGGAGGTGTCCCTGCTTATGACAGGGGGTGGAACTGGATGGTGTTTAAGGTCCCTTCCCACCCAAACCCTGATGGGATTTGATAATTCCATGAAGCTGGGATGTCTCCAGGCTGGGATTCTCACGTTCCCATCAGACAAATCCTGTGGGATGCAGCTCCAAGGAATAAAAGGAAAACCCTGAGCTCCAGGGAGAGCTTGGAGCCCCTTCCAGAGCCTAAAGGGGCTCCAGGAGAGCTGGAGAGGGACTTGGGAGAAGGGCTGGAGGGACAGGACACAGGGAATGGCTTCTCAGTGCCAGAGGGCAGGGAGAGATGGGATACTGGGAAGGAATTCCTGGCTGGGAGGGTGGAGAGGCCCTGGCCCAGGTTTGCCAGAGAAGCTGTGGCTGCCCCTGGATCCCTGGGAGTGTCCAAGGCCAGGTTGGACGGGGCTTGGAGCAACCTGGGATAGTGGGAGGTGTCCCAGCCCATGGATTTATGAGCTTTAAGGTCTTTCCCAGCCCTTCTTTTTATTCCCAACAGTAAAGAAAAGCTCCTTTCCTTGCCCCCCTTGCCAGCATCTCGGACCTGCAGAGGCTGGAGCAGCACAAGGATCAGGCCTTTGGGACCCTTGGAGACCTTTATCTTTGATTAGATTAAAAAATAGGAATTGCCCGAAGTAGGAATTGCTAAAAATAGGGAAAAAATGCTCCAAACAGGAATTGCCAACCATAGGAATTGTTAATGGTGTGAAAGCAATTCCACAGGGAACTGGATGGATCCATTGACACGTTGGTATCGGGTATCTGATGGATCCACCGATCCAATTAAGCTAATTCCATCAGCAATTCCCTGACTGGGGGAATCAGGGAATGATTCTGTCCTTTAAGCTGCTGAGTCTTGCATGGATAAAGGAAAAGGGGGAATGCTCACCAGGGGATGTTTGAGCCCAGTTTGCTGAGTGTCTCCCATGTTTGTGTCGTCCTGATTTCCCCCGTGGAAGATCCGAGGGGTTTGGATGAACCAACAATCCCCGTGGTTCCTTCCCAGCCTGCTCTGGATGCATAAATCCTGCCTTCCCTGAGGGGTGGTGTCCTGCTTTCGTCCTCTCCAGCGGGACAAACTGCCCTGGGAGGCAGCACAGAGGCCAAACCCGGCCTTGCCTTCAAATTCCATCGGTGCTTTCCCTTGGAAAACCGAAGGAAGGAGTCTTGCCATTTCCAGACTCCCGATTTACGTTCCCATGGGAAGGGCCTGGACTCTCTGGCCGCTGCAAATCCTTTCCTGAGCAGAACTTTTTGGCTTTTAAGCAGCTAAAATCCCAACATAGAGAAGTTATAATCCCGATGGATTTTCCCTACTGGACGTTCAGCTCCCAAACCGGAGAACTGGTTCCAAATTACTGGTTTTCCAGCAGCAGATTCCACAAAGAACATCTGACCTGGACTCCTAGAAAAAGGTGGAGCCTCAGCTGGATGATCCTTTTTTTTTTTCCCCCCCTAGATTCCCAAGAACCGAGAACAAAATCACGATTTTTACACTTTTAATTTTTTTAATCCCTGAAGCCAACTTTTACATTACATTTTTTTTTTTAACCTAAATAAAATCTGTAGCTTTTCCCCTCCGTTTTCCTCCTGCTCTTAGTTGCATTTTACCCGTTTTATTCAGCCGAGGGCTCGAAACCGAGGGAATTCTGAGGAATTCCGGGATCTGCTGCTTGGGATCTCGGCTTAGGTGGCTTTGTGGTTCCTTCCCTGCCCGTGGAGTTGTTTAAAGGGTTCTCTTTTCCTTTTCCACGCAGGGATATCCCAATGCCACTGGTGAGCTCCGGGGTGGAGCACGGCAACCTGAGGGAACTCGCCTTGGCCAGGATGAAGGATCTTGGGACACAGGTAAAAAAAAAATCCTGGGAAGGGCTTTGAAAAAAAACAAAAAAAAGCAACTTAATGACTAAAAAAAGCACTTTAAGGATCCTTCTGGGATCATTAAAAAGCTGTGTTTGTTTGGGTGACTTTTAAGTTTTGTTTGGGTGACTTTTAGTTCAGCACTTTCACCCCCATCCCTGGTAACTAGTCTGTGATATTCCATTTGTTTTGTTTTTTTTGGAGCCCGAAATCGAAGAGAGGAGGCAGGAAAGGTTCCTTTGTAATCGATGCAGTTGGAAACTCTCCTTCCTTTTCTCCTTTCCCACGCACTCCGCTGGCTGGAACAATTGGAAGGAAGGCTCTCAGTGGAATCTTGCAGGAGAGGTTTCAGCACAAACAAAAGGAGTCTTGATATTCCTGATATTTCTGATAAAAACACGGGGGAGGGGGAGGAATTGGATTTATGTTTGCAGCCAGGAAGGATGGATTCCCAGCCTTTTCCCAGTGTTCCTCCGGCTCTGCTCTGCCCCTGCCCACCGTTTAAACCTCCCTCCCAAACTCCCAAAGCCCCTCCTGGAAAGTTATGCCCTTTTTCTTTTGGGATGTCCCACTTCCTGAACGAAACGTGGCACAAACCCCGTGTTTCCTGGGAATGTTCCACCCACTGAGGGTACCCGGAGGAGCTGTGGCTGCCCCTGGATCCCTGGAAGTGTCCAAGGCCAGGTTGGAGCAACCTGGGATAGTGGGAGGTGTCCCTGTTCGTGGCAGGGGGTGGAACTGGATGGTGTTTAAGGTCCCTTCCCACCCAAACCCTGCTGGGATTTGATGATTCCATGAAGCTGGGATGGCTCCAGGCTGGGTTCTCGGTTTCCCATCAGACAAATCCTGTGGGATGCAGCTCCAAGGAATTCAAGGAAAACCCTGAGCTCCTGGAGCCCCTTCCAGAGCCTAAAGTGGTTCCAGGAGAGCTGGAGAGGGACTGGGGAGAAGGGCTGGAGGGACAGGACACAGGGAATGGCTTCCCAGTGCCAGAGGGCAGGGGGAGATGGGAGATTGGGAAGGAATTCCTGGCTGGGAGGGTGAGGAGGGAGTGGAATGGGATTCCCAGAGAAGTTGTGGCTGCCTCTGGATCCCTGGGAGTGTCCAAGGCCAGGTTGGAGCCACCTGGGATAGCGGGAGGTGTCCCTGCCCATGGCAGGGGCTGGAATGAGCTGCCCTTTGCTGTCCCTTCCAACCCAAACCATTCCACGATTTTGTGATTCACTTCCAAAGGGCTTTGATTGCTCTGGTGTCCTGGCGTGTGGGCAGGGGCACATCCCCACCACGACTTTTCCATGGATCTCTGTGAGGATTTAGCGCTCCCTCTTCCCAGCTCCCCTTTCCTTAAAGAGCTTTTAAGGCCCCGCTGCATCCAGCAATTGTAAATTCCCCGACCGCTGCCTCTATCCCTGGATTCCCACATCAGTCTGTGCCTCTGACCCATGTTTTTTGGGATTTAACAGGGATAATCCCCCAGGCTACATCTAACTCCTTGCTGCCTGCGCCATCCCGCTTGGATCTTGCAGTCAGGAAAGGCGAGGGAAGAAACTCCAGGCTCTTTTCCTCCCAGCTGGGCTTTCCATCCCGCTTAATCTCTCTCCTTAAGCTGCTGCCCTGGACTTTTCTCCTTCAATCATTCCTCCCAGCCTCTCTCTCTCCAGGATTTGGCAGAGAGCTCTGCCATCCACGAGGAGCTTCCATCCCTCCCGCCGCCGTTCCACTTCAAATCCCGGCAGGGGAGGGAAGCCTCTGGAATTGAGCTCTCCAGGGCTCCTTGGTGGAACCTCCTCCCCGGCTTTGCCGCTAAACCCGGCCGGGACCAGCTGGAAAAGCTGGGAGAGCCGATCCATGGCACCGAGGGGCTCAGCTGGAGCGTTAAAGGGCTTGGGAAGTGTGGCTTTGAGAGGAGCCACGCTCTGGAAATGTCTCTGCTGGGCAGATGATTATGGGCTTTAATTTAGTGAGGCAGAAACTCGGCAGCTGCCGGGAGCAGGATCCGGACAATCTGCTGCAGCACAGCTCGGAATGCGAGGGAACTGCTGTGCTCTCCATGGGTCAGAGGAGAAAGCTATAAATAGGCTTTGCCCTCCTGCTTCCCGGGTTGGAGAAAGAGAGGAAAAGGCCTTGTAGGAATCTCGTGTCTCGTAGGGGGCTTGGAGGAATCTCATGTATTTACCGGCTCGATGGCGAAGATCAGGCAGTTCACCAGCTCTGGAATCCATCATCAGGGAATATTTGAGGGATGGGGATCAGCTTTGTGTCTGTGGTTGTTGAGGATTTTTGTTGGAGGGACCAAGTGCTGGACTTCGGGATTGCCCGACGCTGAGTGAGGGTGGAGATGCGCAGTTGGGACGTGGAATTTGAAAGGAAAATCCCAAAACACACAGTCACTCCTCAGGTCTGGGGTTCTAAACGAGGAGTGGACGTTCCTCCCCTTTTTTCTGGGATGTTTGTGAGGCTGGGAATTGGAAAGCAGGGAAGAGTTCGCCTCCAGCTGGGGCAGGTCACTGGTGGTTCCCCAGGGCTCAGCGCTGGGAACGGTCCCGTTTAATCTTCATGGATGGTCTGGGATCGAGGCACCCTCAGGCAGAAGTGGCAGCGAGTTGGGTGGGATGTGGATCTGCTGGAGATCAGGATCATCTGCAGAGGGATCTGGACAGGCTGGATCCATGGGATTGAGGGGCCAAGGCCAATGGAGTGAGGGGCAACAAGGCCACGTGCCGGGAATTGGACATGGGGCACCACAACCTCATGGAATGTTCCAGGCCAGGGGAAGAGTGGCTGGAAAGATGGGAAAGGCCCTGGAGGTGCTGGACACGAGCCCAGGTGGGCAAGGAGACCAAAGGCTGTCCCAGCCCTGGTGTGGCAGCAGGAGCAGGGAAGGGATTGTCCCCCTGTGCTGGCACTGCTGGGACACCTCCAGGGCTGGGGACAGCTCTGGGACATTCCCAGCAAGGGAGATATGGAGGGGCTGGAGCATGTCCAGGGAAGGGAACGGAGCAGGGAAGGGGCTGGAGCAGCAGGAGCAGCTGAGGGAGCTGGAGGGGCTCAGCCTGGAGAAAAGAGGAATCAGGGGGCACCTTCTGCCTCTGCAACTCCCTGATGGATCCAGGGAAGGGTCGGGCTCTGCTCCCAGGGAACAAGGGACAGGAGGAGAGGAAACGGCCTCCAGCTGTGCCAGGGGAGGTTTAGGTTGGATATTGGGAGTGATCCCTTCATGGAAAGGGTTGTCCAGCCCTGGCACAGCTGCCCAGGACAGGGGTGGATTCCACATCCCCGGGGGGATTTAAAATCCCTGTGGATGTGACCCTTGGGGACACGGCTCGGGGCGGCCTTGGCAGTGCTGGGGAACGGTTGCATTCAATGACCTCAGAGGGCTTTTCCAACCTTAACAGTTCCATGATTCCATGCTGTAGAATCCCGATACAACACCGAGCCCTGGGTTTATCACACCCCACTCCAAAACCCAGACACAACCCCCCCGTTTTTCCTATTATTTTGTGAGATCTTGGCTTTATACCGATAATGGAATTTAAAGGGACTCGGAGACAGGGCACGAGGCAGAGCTGAGCTTGTTCCCACTGCTCTGAGTTTCTGTGTGAACTGGATTTTCACACGTTCCTTCCCTGGCTTAAAATGTCTGGCTTTTGGAATTACAGGGGCAGGTGGGTGTTGGTGCTGTTGGAGCAATTTTAACCCACTGGGGGAGGTTGTTAATGGCTCTAAAGTGACAGAGGGCAGGGCTAGGCGGGATACTGGGGAGAAATTCTTCCTTGTGAGGGTGGTGAGGCCCTGGGATGCAATTCCCAGGGAAGCTGTGGCTGCCCCATCCCTGGAAGTGTCCAAGGTGAAGCGGGGTGGAGCTCTGAGCAACCTGGGCTGGTGGAAGGTGTCCCTGCCTGTGGCAGGAGGTAGTACTGGGTGAGCTTTAAGCTCCTTTCCCACCCAAACCATTCTGATTCCGTGATTCCATGATTCTTCCCTCCAATTCCAGCAGCACTTGTGGAATGAAGTGAGCATTTGCAGCTCAGCTGCTTTGGGCAAAACTGTTGTGGCAGCACTTTCCTGGCTAAAGCTGGGTCAAACTCAGCACTGGCTTACCAATAAACCCACAAAAACCTGGATGAACCCTCTCCCACAGCAGGAATTCCCACACTGTCCCAACTCTTTGCTAACGGGAGCGAGTGCCAAAGTCCTCAAATTTTACTGGTTTTGCTGAAAACCACAAAATCTGTGCGAGTTACAACCCATCTTTTAGCACTTGAGCCTCTTCTCCTCCGCTGTCTCACTTCTGAGGGAGGGGAGATTCCTTTCCGGGACTCATCCCAAGCCTTGGCAGCGCTCCGTGGCTGCTGGGTCGTGTTTGCACTCAGATATTCGGGAAGAGCCCCTGGAGCAGCTCCCATTTAAAAACAAGGAGAGGTTTGCTGGGACTCAAACTCTCTCTATTTGACGCCTGGATTTTGCCGGCGTTCCGCCTTCCCGGTGCAGGGGCAACAACGGATGATTCCAAAGCCGTTTTTCCCCTCTCCTGTCGTTCCATGGATGTTTCCTCTCCCCGCTGGTTGGGAATCCAAGGGTGCTTTGCCTCGTGAGCCACAATGGCCACTCAGCAAATCGATTTTTGCCGGCGGGTCTTTCCGTTGAGCGCCGAGCCTTCTCTCCCAGCTGGATTAGGGCTGGAACAGGGATGGATCAGTGATCCCTTTTATCTGGAAGGCTCCCCCCCCATTTGAAATCCATGACTGCAAATGTTTCAGCGGAGTTTTGGACCTGACATTGCCCGGAAATCTCGTGTGTCTGGAGCTTCCTGACCGTCTCCTCTGTGATTCCCTTTTCCCAGTGCCGCGACGTGAGGACGAGAGAGGTCGGAATTCAGGAAATCCACCACAAAGTGAGACCTTATCAGGTAAGATTTGTCTTTTTTTTTGCCTTTTTTTTAAAGTCAGAGCTTGTTTTCGGCCACAATTTATCTTCTGGCACTGGGAGCCATTTGTTGCACGTCCAATCCCGTGGTTTTGCCTTTGTAGCTGGATCCAGTTTTCCGTGTATTTCTGCGTGTCTCGTTCCTTTATTTTTGGATGTCTTGTTTGAGCACGTGTGGAAATTTATGGACCACTGTGTTCAACAAATGCATCTGCAGCCACTGGTTTATTTGGGTGTTTGGTATAACAGAAGATCTGCCTTTTTCCCTTTGCTCCCTTCCCTAAATTCAGGTTTAAAAAAGAAAACAATAACACCACGTGTTCGTTGTGAACAGGAATAAATGTTTAGCAGGATGAGTTTATGGCCTTTTTTTGGGGTGAATCTGCATGTTTTTATAGGCAAACAGGGCATGTGTAAATACATTTATGCACATGTACAGTTATATTTATTTGTATGAGTATATTCAGTTAGCATTGGACAGATATGTTGTGGTTTTCCTTCCTAAAATCCTTAAATAGTCCACAAAAAGATGCTTTGGAAAGGGAAACGTTCACTGCATCCAGTTTAGGAACCCATGGCATCCTTGAATGCTTTGGGTTTGGAAGGGACCTTAAAGATCATCTAATAAAAACTAAAGAGCATCTAATTGCTTCCAGCTCACTGTAGTCCCAAGGAGGGATCAATCCTTCCACAGAGGGATTGGGAATTCCATGGCACCCAAGGAAATGAGCCTTTTAGGAGCACACAGGCCCTAATTTTACTCTCCACGTGTGCTGTGGGTAATAAATCATGCCTTGGAAATATCCTCCTCCTGTTCCTTTGCTGCCATTAAGGAGGGACTGGAAGGATTCTGGAGTTTGTCCATCAGGTGTTGCCTTCACTTCCAAACAGGAATTCTTTGTGCCAGGCAGGAGCTGGGTCAGGATGGCTCTTCCTGGTCAGGATGGGCACGGACATGGTTCCTAAATATGAGCCACTAAATTGGGATTAGGATGTGACTCCTACCAAAGATCCTCTCCCTGGTGCTTTGGAGAATCCCTGGATTTCTTTAGGCTTGGAGGAGACCCCGAATTTGGCTCCAGGAGTTGGGCAGAGGGAATATTCGCCGAAAGACCTCCTCCCAGAGATTCTGGGGAGCCACATCCTGCTTCCCTCCGTGACTTCGGGGGGAGTGCCACCCACCCCACCTGTGACACACAGAGAGGGACAAGAATCCCAGAGAAACGACCCCATTCCTACCCGATTCCTGCAGGAATGGGGGCTGCCCAAACCCCTTTGCCTCTGCGCTGCCCCCTCATCTGCGGTCACCTCACGGAGCCTCTCCCGCCCCCAGCTGTCTGTTGGCAGCTCCTCTAACCTGATTTAAATTGTAAATTCCGATTTTTGGGGAGGAGAGGAGAGCAGTTAGCAAATAGCTTATCACAGGGTTTTCAAAGCAAAATCCCCTTTGTTAGGCTCCGTCTGGCTGAGTGGCAGGAGGGTGTCATTGTGCAGTCGGAGCGGAATTTATCATGACAAGCCAGGGAGAGGAATATTCCGGGGGATGGCACCGTTTTTTTTTTCCTTGTGCCTCAGACTGATGACAAGGTGTACGATGTTTGTCTTGGCTCCTCGAGTAAACACGTCCCCCCCCCCCCGTGTCACATCTCAAAAGAAATTAATCCCTGGCTCCAATTAATCACGGCTCCTTTTCCGGGCGGGATCGGCGGGGGCCGGGCGTGTATTTTTTATAATACATAACTCTGCTTATAATTTATTTATCGTGTCTAAGTCTGGGGCCTTTGAAAAAGCCAATTTGAAGTAGTTTTTTTGGTGATTTGTTGTGTTTTTTTTTTCCACTGGTTATTTACAGAGCTGCCTTTTCAAGTAGGAGCAGGGAGGGGGGGAAGGAAGGAGGGAAGGAAGGAAAGTGTTTTCTTGCTCCCACAGTGGTTGAGGCTGCTGTGGAATAAAGCCTTAAAAATGCTCAGGTGGATTGTTGGAGTAAAGAGACGTTGGAGTGACAGGTTTTTGAGGGGCAATGACAGCTCTGTTAAGGATATGAAGCTCCATTAGTGTTCAGGCAGAAAGTGTGAGGCTTTGGAGCTGCTGTCTCTGAAAAACTGGGAGGGGGGAGTGGTGGTGTATCAAGATAAGGATAATACAGAGCCTGGGAAGGAATAAAGCAGATTTTTTAAGCTGGGAGGAGCTGGTTTAGGCTGAGCCTAACCTGCCCCTGCGTTTTGCCTTTGTTTGTCAAAAGCAGTTTAAAATAAACGTGCAAAGCATTTAATGGGGTTTTAGAGGGAAGTGGTGAGGGATGTTTTAGGGACAAGGGACTGTCCTGGGAGCGTCCAAGGCCAGGTTGGATTCCCTTGGAGCAACCTGGGAGAGTGGAAAGTGCCAGGGTTGGAACTGGATGGGCTTTAAGGTCCCTTCCCACCCAAACCATTGTGGGATTCCGTGGCTGGCGTTGGGAACTGCAACGTGGGTGTGCCCCGACCAGGAGGTGATTTGGGATTGGCTTTTGCCACATTGGTACCGTTATCCCAGAAGGAAAAAGGTTCTGTGCACCTCGTGAGTCCCTGAAAAACCCTCTGAGGGGGGTTGTGTATCCCAGGAACCCTCTGTGCCCAGGGAAGTGGGAATAACAAACCCCTCGAGCAGCTCAGCTTGGCTGGTAACGTGTTTGTGTTGCCATAAAAATGCCCCAACAAAAAGGCTCCTGGTGAAGGTTCCTGTTTGTCCTGGCCCATCTCTGTCTACAAGTGGATTTTTGGAGGGGAGGTGAACATAACATGGAATCTGGTCATAGAATCTTGGAATCCCAGGATGGTTTGGGTGGGAAGAGAGCTTAGAGCTCATCCAGTTCCAACCCCGACACCTCCCGCTATCCCAGGTTGCTCCAACGTGGCCTTGGACACCTCCAGGGGTCCAGGGGCAGGCACAGCTTCTCTGGGAATTCTGTTCCAGTCCCTCACCACCCTCCCAGGGAAGTCCCTGCCGGAGGACAAGCAACTGGAGCCATATTTTCTATTTGTTTCATTTTGTCTTTGGAAGAATCCAGGAGTTTTCCAGTCTGAAACTCAGTGTTTAATAACATTTCAAGCCAAACCAGCTCTTACCCCGTGATCTCATTTCAGCATTTCAGAGCTGAGATGAGCCTTGGTGCAGTTAGGACAAGGTTTAATTGTTTAATTTTAAGCTGTGCTCAGCCAGGCTTGGACGTGGAGAGGAGCGGGCGACACATTCCCAGACGGAATTCTCCGTAAACAAATCTTTAATTCATGGATTTGGGGGCAACAGAGGAGGTGCAGAAAAAATGCCTTTAGTCTTTGCAGTGAGACTGGGAAGAATCATAATTGTCCAGGTTGGGAAAGATCTCCAGGATCATGGAGTCCAACTGTTCCCCCAGCACTGCCGAGGCCACCCCTGAGCCGTGTCCCCAAGGGCCACATCCACAGGGATTTGAAATCCCTCCAGGAATGGGGACTCAACCGCCTCCCTGGGCAGCCCCTTCCAATGCCTGACCGCCTTTTCCATGAAGGAATTCCTCCTGGTGTCCAACCGGACCCTCCCCTGGCACAGCTGGAGACCGTTCCCTCTCCTCCTGTCCCTTGTTCCCTGGGAGCAGAGCTTGACCCTTCCCTGGATCCATCAGGGAGTTGCAGAGCCAGAAGGGCCTCCCTGATCTCTCTTTTCTCTGGGATGAGCCCCTCCAGCTCCCTCAGATACTCCTGCTGCTCCAGCCCCTTCCCCAGCTCCGTTCCCTTCCCTGAACACGCTCCAGCCCCTCCATTCCTCCAGCAAACCCTCTGACTGTTCCCCACTTGGAAAACATCAGGAAGCCCAGAATCCCGATTCCTTTCAGATCAAAAGCAACTTGAGAAGTTTATTTTCTTCTCCCCTTCACTTCCTCTGCCAGTTCCTCTTTATCACTCAACCCCACCCCTGGTGTTTGGCGCGTTCTCCACCATCCGCCAACTCTCACTTCGCTTCTCCCTTCCACTCCTTGGGATCTTCCAGGGCGGCTTTTGTCCGGGTTGTTCCCAGAAAATGGGGTTTGAGGCAGCTCTCAGGGTGCTGGTCTGGCTGGTTTTGGGGTCTAAAGGGGTGAAAACCCCACTTGTGCTGCTTGTGGAGAGACCTGGACCTGTGAGTGTGGGGTTAGTGAAGGCTGTGAGGCCAAACCGCTCCTTCTGCACCGGAAAGTTTGGGGCTGGAGCTGCATCTCCATGAGAGCAATTCCCTTGGGAAGAGGGAAGAGCTGCTGCTCCCACTGATTCTGCAGGGATTGTGGAACTCGAGCCGCTCCAGAATTTAGAGATTTTAGGTTTCTGCTTTATAAGGTGAGTGAGACCACGCCTTGTGTCCTTGTGAGACCCCACCTGGGGCACTGCTTCCAGCTCTGGGATCCCAAAATCAGAAGGATGTGGAGTTGCTGGAGCAAGTCCAAAGGAGGCCATGGAGATGCTCCCAAGGCTGGAGCCCCTCCGCTCTGGAGCCAGGCTGGGAGAGCTGAGGGGGTTCAGCTGGAGAAGAGAAGGATCCAGGGACACCTTGGAGCCCCTTCCAGAGCCTAAAGGGGCTCCAGGAGAGCTGGAGAGGGACTGGGGACAAGGGCTGGAAGGACAGGACACAAGGAATGGCTTCCCACTGCCAGAGGGCAGGGAGAGATGGGAGATTGGGAAGGAATTCCTGACTGGGAGGGTCTGGGCTGGAATTCCCAGAGAAGCTGTGGCTGCCCCTGGATCCCTGGGAGTGTCCAAGGCGAGGTTGGAGCAACCTGGGATCGTGGGAGGTAGGGGTGGGATGAGATGATCTTTAAAGTCCCTTCCAACCCAAACCATTCCATGATTCAGTGTCACAGGTCACCACGTGGGCTCCCAATCCTTCTTGGAATCCTGTGGGCAGGGATAGGAGCCCAGAGGTGTCCCTTGGACAAACCCTTTCCACGACAGAGCCTCGTGTTTCCCTCGGCTGTGTCTGCAGGACCTGCAGCTCTCACCCAGCACTGCCCAAATCCATCTGGAATTAAATTGACCTTTCAGAAGCTGTGAATCCCAACAGTTTATGGAGCCGTGAAATTCCCTTCGGTCCATCCAGGGCGTCGCTCCAGGATTATTAAAGAAATTTTTTCCTTTTTTTTTTTTTTTCCCCCTCTTTGTCTCCCTCCCCTCTCCTTCCCCCCCGCCCAGATTGAGCTGATCCGAAGGGATTACGTGGCCAACGGGGGCTGGGAGACCTTCCTGTCCTACGAAGACCCGGAGCAGGACATTCTGGTCGGGCTCCTGCGCCTTCGGAAGTGCTCCGAGGAATCCTTCCGGCCGGAGCTGAAGGGAGGCGTCTCCATCGTCCGGGAATTGCACGTCTATGGGAGCGTGGTCCCCGTCAGCAGCCGGGATCCCTCCAAATTCCAGCACCAGGTACTCCAAACCCTCCCTGTTTTCCCTCCCCTCTCCTCGTATAACCTGATTTAATGTCCGATTTGCTCATTTGACATCCGTCGTGCCTTTGGGTTCCCTTCTCCCGGTTAATCCTTGTCCAGCAGCTGGATTTCACTCCTGGAATCTGAAAACTAATTCCAGACGGAGGGAAAGTGAGATTTTTATTTGGTCCTTCCCCAGTTTTCTTTCCAAGGAACGTTCACTGAATGGATTCTTCCCACCCAAACAGAAGGAATCCAGTTTTCTGCTTGAAGTGCCCGGAGAAGCTGCAGACTCCCCATCCCTGGAAGTGTCCCAGGACAGGCTGGATGAGGCTTGGAGCAACCTGGGATGGTGGGAAGTGTCCCTGCCCACGGCACTGGATGAGCTTTAAGGTCCCTTCCAACCCAAACCGTTCCATGATTCCATGATTTAGTGACACTCACAGATCTCTTCGTTGGCTCAGGCAGCTTTTTTTCCTTCGGAGAACGTGTCGTGTATCCCTTAAAACGCGGGAATAAAGGGACTGGGAAGCTGCTTCTCGTTCCTTGCAGTGACTTGCAGGAAAATATCACATTACCCTGCTGCCGCCTGGGACGTGTCGGGGCTTGTGGGGAGCGAAAACCTGAATTAAATTGAGGTTCTGAACCCTTTAAGACTGAGCTTTCCAAAACAATCCCGGTTGCCTGGAGCGCTCAGGGGGCCGATGTTTTAAATTAACTTCCTTGGAAAGGATTAATCTTTGCCTGGGGAGGTGCATTAAGACGTGGTTTTGGCCCGAGGAAACATCGAGGGGGGGTGGAGAGAAAAATCAAGGAAAAGTGGATATTTCTGCAGTGAAATCGTTAAAAGCCGTCATCCTAAATATTTTGGGGGGTAAAAAAATCAGGAAGGAAAATAAAGGGAATCGACCGAAAGCGGCCGAGCACGAACGTGGAAACGGCTGGAAGTTGGAATTCCATGGCGGAATTCCGTGTTCCTCGGGTCAGTCGGAGGGTTGTTGCTCGGCCAGGGAGCAGTTTCTGGGACATTTTGGGATGAAGATTCCTGTGCGTTCCTTAAAAAGGCCTCCGAGCGTTGAGCGGTTTTGTTTTTCGTTTTTCGGGGTTTTAATTAAAAAAAATTAAAATTAAAGAATTTTTTTTTTAAAAAAAAATGAAAATTTAAATCACGGTGGCTTCAGAATGCCCCGGAAACCAGATGAAGGAAGATCCCGCTGTAATTCCTGCATCCTGGTGTTTAGGAGGGAATGAATCTCCTCGATTATTCCCAGATATAAAGGACAACAGAGGGGTTAAACAGAGTGGAAAGGCTTTTCCCTGGTTTTGCAGCATTGAGGTGATTCCAGGGAGATTTCCTGGTGTAAATGCAGGCATGGAGCTGGTGCAGGGTGTTAACGTGCTCTCCTGCTTTTCCTTTGGATTTGGCGTCTCCTGTGGCACGAGCTGAGAGCGGGAGAGCGGCACGGAGTTGAGCTCAGCCTGGATCTGTGAGGGAACGTCGTGATAATTCATCCTGGAATGAGCAGGGAGACAGTTCCTGACTCCTGGAGGGGTTGGAAATCAAGATAACGAGGTGCTTAGGGAACCTGTGGACCATGGAATGGTTCGGGTTGGAAGGGACCTCAAAGCTCATCCCTTTCCACCCCCTGCCATGGGCAGGGACACCTCCCGCTATCCCAGGTTGCTCCAACCTAGCCTTGGACACTCCCAGGGATCCAGGGGCAGCCACAGCTTCTCTGGGAATTCCATTCCAGACCCTCAACACCCTCCCAGCCGGGAATCCCTTCCCAATCTCCCATCTCTCCCTGCCCTCTGGCAGTGGGAAGCCATTCCCTGTGTCCTGTCCCTCCAGGCCTTGTCCCAAGTCCCTCTCCTGCTCTCCTGGAGCCCTTTTAGGCTCAGGAAGGGGCTCCAAGGTGTCCCTGGATCCTTCTCTTCTCCAGGTTGGACACCCCTCAACTCTCCCAGCCTGGATCCAGAGCTTGACATTGGATCCAGCCTCTCCCAGTTCCTCTCTGAGAAGGATTTCAGGGAACAAGGGAGTTCACTTGGAATCTCGTGTCTCAGGGAAGAGCCTCCCTTCCCCTTTGCTCCCATTTCCATCCCCAGATTCCATAAAAATCCCTCTGACTGGATTCTGAGTGTCCTTTACCGTAAAATCCCAGGATTGGAAGGGACCTTAAAGCTCATCCCATTCCACCTCCTGCCATGGGCAGGGACACCTCCCACTATCCCAGGTGGCTCCAACCCGGCCTTGGACACTCCCAGGGATCCAGGGGCAGCCACAGCTTCTCTGGGAATTCCAGCCCAGCCCCTCCCCACCCTCCCAGCCGGGAATCCCTCCCCAAACTCCGGTGGGAGCCAGCCTGGGTAGACCTGTTGCCCGACCCGCTCCGGGGTCGTTCCCCACTCCCCACCTCCCATCCCGGGAATGACCCTTCCCGCTCTCCCACCGCTTCCAGCTTTTTTTTTCCCGCTGTCCCCTTGTCCCGCAGGTGGTGGAGGAGACCCACCTCATCCTCAAGGAATACGGATTCCGCTTCGTCCGGCGCGGGGCCGTCTACGTCAAGGGCAAGGGGGAGCTCCTCACCTTCTTCCTCAAGGGACGGGACAAACCC